AGTATGCGTGTCAACTGAGAGTCGCGCCAAAGGAAAACTGTCACAAATTGCATTTAAATGCGCTGTACTTAAGTTTATCTTTTGGGGCAATGTCGTCAGCTTCCCCCAGCAACCGCTGAGCCACACTTTGTGGGGAAACCAATTTGCTGCGTGCCCATCAAACAAGCTATCAGTATTAGGCCAATCCTTCTCGTGCAGTGCGCTCACGTACGCCCATCCCCCAGAAGATCCATTTCCTGGTTCCTGGTTATGAGCCATCGATGTGCTGGATATCACACAATTGGCTAATTAGCAGTCAATGATGATGGCTGATAAGAAGGCAACGCTACGCGATAGAGCGCGCCCAAAAGCAGGCAAGGGATAACTTTCCCATTGAATGAAAAGTTTTCCCACCGCTCAGTACGCAGCTTCATTAGCGGACAAAGGTTGTGTCGCAGAGCGTTGGAGAGGAAAGCAATCAGTAGGTGGCTGTGCAGCGCTGTGATTTATGAGCGAGTTTTTTGAGGAGCAGCTTTAAAGTTGCACATTCCTCAGTGCAACCACCAAACAGAAGAGTCGGCTATGTGGGTTAAGCGGGCATTAAACCCGCCGCAAAGAGGATCTGCTGTGACTTACATAGCTCTTCATTTGCCTGCACTTGGCCTCCACAGTACACCACTTTTCGAATCTCGGTGTCAGAGTCAGCCTCAGATGCTGGGCATTAAATGTCAGGCCATAAAACAGGAGCCCTGTACAGACGCCCCTACTCTATGGGTGGCCAATAATGGCCCATTAGCCATTGACCCCAGCTCCTGTTGCCCGTTGCCCGTTGCCTCTCCAGGCCCAACCACAGACGCTGCAAAATGTTGTCCATTGCCTTTGATATTCCTTCGTTTTGTGGTATTTTCCCCAGAACATCCTTGTTCTCCATCTATTTCCCTCTCTCCCTCCCCGTACTCGGGGAGAGCATAAAATGTTTCCATTACGGAATGTGTAACAGAAATTAATTCGCAACAATTTCATTATATCCTTGAAGCTAGTAATCTGATATTGCTCACACGTTGTCAACGCGGTGAGGCACTTCCGTTCCCAACTATAAAGCGAAAATATGTCGTGAATATAGTTTGGATCAGTACAAAACCAAATTTTGTGCTGCTTGCGCTTTCGTCTAAGGGGTATCAAGTCTTCGGTTCCTAAATCTATTCTTCTTTTTTCTTTCATTTCACTTTGTGCTTCTCTTTTTCTTTCAATTTGCTTTGCTTTTTGTAATGTTAATGTTAATGAGTCTTGGAATGCGTTTGAATTTGGCCAGTTCCAATTGATAAGGAATCTTTCTCTCCCTCCCTGTCGCCTCCTCGTCCCTCTAACAATTAGCGTTCCTTTGAGGCCCGCACACACTCAAACTTACACACATTTACACGTGCACTGAAACGTACCCAAAGGTGGATACTCTGCAGCACCCGCCAGGCAAATTTAGCTTTTATGACTATGTTAATTTTCGTACAACGTTTTTATGGGATGCCATTTGAACGGCTCACCAGTCCCCGAGTCAAAACCCGAAAAGCCCTCCCAGCCCGACCAAGCCCCCGAAAACTGTGTCAACTGTGGGTGAGGCTCTTTGTCGCCAACTCAACACAACGTTGGTGGTGGTGGCCTATTGTGCTCTTGCTGTTGCTGTAAGCGTTGATAAGCGACGACAGCCAGAGTGTAACATATGTCGACCACACACACGTTCCACACCCACATCGTATGTATGTATGTGGAGCCCCCAGCGGGTTGCCCATGGAAAGTGCTTTACATTTGGAGCTGCCTCCAGTGATAAGCAAAAGGTTAGTCCAACTGGAAGAGCCGATTGAAAAGCCATCTATGTACATACAGGTTTAATTAAATTTGCATGTTCTACGAGTGATAGAACGGCGGCCCCGACCAACAACCGCAGCACGACAGGTGCGAATGGTACATACATCAGTTTTGCGGGTAATTTGCGTTCCACTGGGGGCGACACGGACACGGACACGGACATTCCACTCTCCGCATAATCTGCTGGCCCCGTTTTGCGTTTAATCAGCAGCATTACTTTTATATACATTTATTGTGGGGGTATTTAGTTATTTAAATTCCCATGATAAGATGGAATGGATGATGTTCAAAGTACGGGCCAAGAACGTTCCAGAGATCCGAACCGGACAGATCCAGCACTGGCTGAGGCCAATGGCTAATGCATTTTGGCTATGCTGGCCGCGAACATCAATCATTAATCTGTTTTTTTCTATTTTAATTCGTATTAAATGCAATTCCAAAACGCCGCACGCAAAGCGCAAAAGCAATACACACACACACACACACACCCGCACCACACATGCAGTTAGACAAACAGGGAGAGAGAGAGACGACGCGACGACTGTCGATATGCCGTTGACTGTGGTCAGTGACAGAGAGGCACAGGCAGCGACGCCGACTGCGAATGCAGAGCGGGGAAAAGCAGTGCAAGAAAAAACGCAAGCAGCAGCACCAGCAAACAGTGCCACGAGTGGGCCAATGACAGACAACGCGAGCCCCCCGTTCACCCACTCAGGCGATCACAATTTGACAGCTGCATGCATATGACAGCGAAGCAGCTCGACGCACCGCAGCCTCTGTAGCCGCAGAAGTACGCGCTGGCATGCAGTGCTGCAACACAAAGCGTCGAGTGCAACGCCACGCGACGACTGACTCATTTTGGGGCTTGCGCTAAAACCAAAAATTTAAATATGTTGTGGAAAAATTGCGAGCAACAATGCAGATTGTGTGCCGTTTGGCATGTTGCTGCATTTTGGCTTTACAGCGGCCGCCGTCTCTATCAGATCTTTGTGTTTTTTATGGCGCTTATCAATTCCGAGTATTTTCCCACTGCATGAGAAATTTGCTTAAACCTTTCAATTGCGTAAGAACTGTCATACGCAAATATACACACACTCATCATCCATATGCAGTTGTATTTACATGTGCCGAGCGTGTGTTAAAGTGAAAGGCTGCTCTGCAGAGGAGGAAGCGCTGGCTGGCTGTCGTACTCACTCTCTCACACTTCATTTGCGCTGCGATGCTAATTGGAGTGCATATGGATTTTATAGTAATATTGAAGACCGTTATTTATAGGCTTGCTCTCCGGCGCGTGTGTGTTAGAAGGGCGCCAGCTCCCTTACTCCCTACGACACTCTTTCCATCTTGTTCTCTCTTAATAGCTATCTACACATATGTACATATGCAATACCTTAACTGTTATTCTATGTGGCCACGGCTGGATGTTGCTTACAAAATTTGGTCACGTTCAAAGTCACAAATAAAAAACTAGATACGAGTATTCTCTTTTTCTTTTGCAATTTCTGAATTAATGAAACACTTTTTGTGTGCTTTGCTGTGCGGCAAGTGCGAGTGTGCGATAATTTATTAGTGCCACATTTCTGACACAGATTTCGATTTCGGACGATGGCCAACTTAATTCAATTTCTTTACGTGCACACTTCGTCACTGGCCGAACCGAACGAACCCCTTTGTCAGGGGGCTGGCCGGGGGTGCAAACGCTAATAATGCGAGCCTAAATCACTTTGTTTATACACCCAGATCTCCGCACTTTTGACCGGATCCACCTACCGAGCCGCTGGCAGATTTTCCATCGTCTGACACCTGTTGTTGCTAAAGTCGCGGCACAATTTGCAGGCGCCGCGGCATCCGGAGGCAGCAGATGTTGGGCATGCAAAAGAGTTTTTTAGTGCTGCTTTGGCGAAGGGGTTTGATGTAATCAATTGTATTATAAACACTCGACACGCGCCGCCTTATTTGCTTTTCATTGTACTCGTTTCAGTCCTAATCCAACAACTTTTCGCGCGTTGAAACTCCCGCGCTTTTAAACTTGTCGCGTCCGCGTTTCTCCAATCGTTTTTGAAAAGTGCCTCGCAGCGGTACCATATCTCTGGAATGCGTAAATACCAAAATCCGCCGATAACGTAAAAGCGTTACGTTACTCATATTTGAGCTCATTTTGCGTTTGCCAGTGAGGCGGAAACTCTAAATTCAAATGTTGACTTTTAGAACATTTTTATTAAAACATTATAAAAAAAATAATGCATGACAAATATGAATTGGAATACAAATATTAGATATTCTTTAAAGAGTAGTGGGTAAAAAAAAAAATAAAAAAGCTGTATGTAAACGTATCAGTTGTCATTACTTAAATAAAAGATCATCACGAAACCAGCATAGCATGCAAGAAATTTTTACTTTATCAGATAACTACAAATGTTTGTAAATTTATGCACTTTGATCACTCATATATTTGTTGTTTTGAAATTTGGCCATGTTATACATTTCCAACAAACAGAGTGAATAAAAAGGAAACAAAATATTAAATAAGAAAAGGATCTAAGCAGGATACTATTTTTATTTTGTATTCCGTTTTTTGACGTATATCGTTCTCAAATATATTATTCTCAAATACAAGCAAATTCTCTCAGAATTCTGATTTCCTTTGAGTGATATTTTCAAACTGAGCAATTTGCATTTGGTTAGATCACTCCTGCTTTCGATCTTGCAGATATTGGTTTAATCGATGTTGTTGCCGCTTATCGATTCATTGATGAATTTTGCTTTCATTGTTTTATTAGCCTTCTATTCAACTTTTACACACTTTCAAAAAGGTAAACAAAGTCGACGGCTTTCTGAGAAGTGTAACCGTACGGAAAGCGGTTTTCACCTTTGGTCAGTCTCTGCCGCTAGAAAAATATATTTCACTGTTTGCTAGCAAACGTGTTTTTCGATCTGAGTGCTAGGCTTTGATTAACTATTCACTTATTTTTAAGAGGTAAAAAAAGTTTTTTTTAAAAACAACATTTCTTATCGTTTTGATTCGAATGTCATCCCTGATTTTTCTAGAAAAGTAGTTCCGTTGATGTTACTCCTTCAAAAGTATCCATATTAATGTTATCGTTCGTCGAAAAAATATTAAGAAGAAAAACTATCGATAGATAGAAAATTGTATAATTCACATCGCTACTAAGAATTTCATTGCAAAAAAAAATAAAATAGGAAACGAGGCAAACGGCGACGGCGACATCAACTGCAAGAAAGAATAAACGGAGAAGAGAGTTGGAAAGTTTCGGCAGCCCAAGGCGTAGCGAAAAGTGCTAAGTAGATTAGTCCCGAGACAGACAGTGACATCGCAAGCAACAAAATGAGCGGAGGCATGGATAAGAGAAAACTCTCGTAAGTACAAATAATTCGCAAGTTCTGCGAAATGTCCCCCTACCTCTGTTCGTGCTATTCCTTCTTTTTTCTTTTGATGCGCGCATACACTGGTGGAATACACACTGGCATTCTGTGTATGTGACTAGCAGCTGCGCGCAGACTGCGGCAGCGCAGTCGGCGTTTAATTGATTTTTCGCGGCAGAAGTTGTACGGCGTATGGCATTCCTTTGGATATGTGTCTCGGGATAAACAAGGAGCAGGATCAAGACAAGCGGTGGTGGGGGGACAACGAGACATACGTGTGAAAGAGAGAGAGAGAGAGAGCACAGCATTGTGACAGCTGCCGAAAGACAAACGGTTTCATCCTGGGCAAGGCCAAGGATTGTCTGGCCTGCTGCAATTTCCCATTGATTGTCTGTGAACCCTCCCTCTCTCACGCTGAATGGAATATATGGAATAATAAGTAGTTCGTGCAACACAAAATCGAACTAAAACACGATGCAAATGTTTAATGGGCGATAACAACAAGTGCGATCCACCCGCTCGCACACAGGTACACAGAAAAGAGTACCTGTTATCTATGGGAGCGTTTTTACAGTCGTTTTGGCTATTTCAGTCCCCGTGCGCTCGTTCCCAATTCGATGTCCCATGAGTAATTCCGACAGCCACCTAAATTTGGCCCAATTCTGAATGGCCCTAACTTTTCCAAGGCAAAAGCAACTACGAATTGGCGCTGCGCCTTCGTGACGACTGCCGTTGTCCTTGGCCCTGAGACGCCTGCCCCCCTACACTTACACCCCAGTACCCAAAACTGACCCTGAATCTCTCATCCGCTCGAGTCCTAATCGCCATCATCATTGTCATCATCCCCTTCAAGGGGGGAGAGCATTTGGGCTTCGTTGCGCGGCCTCTTTTGCCCTCTGAACGCTCGTTGTCTTATCAGCTTGTAGATTTGCCTGCCCATGCTGTCAGACATAACATAACAAATGCTAGAACCAGACCCATCCGGACCCCCTTCGCTGGGCGGGCTTATAAATAGCTACGCCCTGCCCACCTGCTCAAGAAAATCCATACAAAGTGCAAAGGGTGCACTCTATGCTGCACGCGACCTCAGCTTAGGCGACGCTGCTGCTGCTGCTGCTTTTCTTGCGCTGTCAATGCCATGCTAGCTGCTTCCGACGGGCTTTACGCATCCGGCAGGGACCGCTCGATTCCAGAGTAGGGGCGCAGGCGCCTCCCACGGCTATCGCGTGCCACTCCGCACCTAACTGTTGCTTGGCACTGACTCATCGCGGGACTCGTCAGAGCTGGCTTCTTATCGCTCAGCACGACAAACCCGCGAGCCAAGCATTATTGCTTCTGGCTCAGCTCCGATCCGCAGCACAGTATGCCCCCGCTAAAGAGCCTTTCAGAATTTAATCTCTACGAACTGTTATCTAACCCGGTTTGTTATCACGAGCGAATTCCAAGGTTCGCAATGAGAAAGTTTTGCAGCTATTATGGGGGGAGCCCTATTATTATACCAAATAATAACGATTTTCTACATTTTCTAAACCTAGCACATCGGGGGACTCGCTGTACGAGATTCTGGGACTTCCAAAGACTGCCACCGGAGACGATATCAAGAAGACTTACCGGAAGCTGGCACTGAAATACCATCCGGACAAGAACCCCGACAACGTCGATGCTTCCGATAAGGTATAACAATTGCCTAATACCTATGTCGGGAGTGTGCCCTACCTAATCGTAATCCTTCTTCTTCGTCTGGTTTTCAGTTCAAAGAGGTAAACCGGGCGCACTCGATACTGAGCGACCAGACCAAACGCAATATCTACGACAATTACGGCTCCCTGGGACTGTATATAGCCGAGCAGTTCGGTGAGGAGAATGTGAATGCATACTTTGTGGTCACATCGCCGACGGTGAAGGTCAGTGCATTGACACTTGCATAAATATATATTATATATATTTATTTATAATGTCATCTGTATGATGTTTTCTCCATTGCAGGCCTTGTTTATCTGCTGCGCAGTGGTCACCGGCTGCTGCTGCTGTTGCTGCTGCTGCTGTTGTTGCAACTTCTGCTGCGGCAAATTCAAGCCGCCGGTCAACGAGTCGCACGACCAGTATGCACATCTGAATGTGAGTGATGTTTGAATTGGCCCAGCCAAGACCAAGACCCTGTCCCCGAGTGTCCTAGTCCAACTCCGCCCGCTACTAACTGAACCACCCATTTTGATTTAGTTAAGAAACGGCAAAAAACAAGAAAATCAATCTGGTGCAAGTCTTAAATTTTAAGTCTTACTACTAAAGCATGCCTCCCATCCCCACACACCCAACAACACATACACACTGTAATATCCCCCAAACTGAACACTAAACACACATTTTGATGATTTTTGTGAGGCCTCTTACCATTATCATATGTAGTTCCGTTTGAGAAGCAAATGTTTAGTCAAAAACGTTCCTCCCCCAGGCAACCACCACACATAAAACGCTTACCAGCTAGTAGCTTAGCCCGATCAATAAATGCTGACCATTATTTAGTGCATATTATTTACTTGAATTATCAGATTGCTTGGCACGCCCTTTATCGTATACTAGCTATTTCTTATATACACTATGTTCCTTCAGTTTGCTTTGCTTTATTCCCGTACGAATATTGCTCTGATATGTTTAGTTTTTTTGTTGGGGTAAGTATTTGTTTTGGTTTTGTGTTTGGTATTTCGTATTCAGTATTCCGGGTAAGCATTCAAAGCTGGGAGGCTAAAGGTAAACACGACTAACCCACCCCCACAAGTGATTCGATCATTCTGTTTTAGTTTCAAAAATATATTGTACACAAAATTCGATATGGATTCTATTTATTTCTATAACATGAACTTCACGAAAATCATCAAATGCTTCCAACGTCTCTCTTTCTTACTCTCTCTGTCTCTATACATATATAAATATATACAAAAATATATTTGTACATATCTTTTGACTAAAAACAACACGTAATCGAGTTTCCTGCGATATTCAGTCTGTGGATTATCGAATTACCAGACGAATTTTGATTTGATCCACGATTGTTTTTCTTGTTTTTGTACGTGTCCCATTCCGACCGCATTCAGACTTTTGAATTGTGTTCCATTTGCATTTGCATTCGCATTCGCGTTCTGCATTTTATTCAGCCTTATTCTTTTTTTATTTGTTTGTTTGTTTGCTCTAATGTAAACAAGAGAAGACGACGATACGATTTAAGTTTCTATTTTTGTTTCACTTTATTTCTCAAAACTCTTCGATCGACTCATCAATCCACCTACTACTCTACCCACCACCACCACCACCACCACAACCAACCACCAACCACCTCCACACACAAACGGCTCCTCATTCGCTCCGAAAGCGACCCGATGGCAATCGAGAAGCCAGTGATCTGCCACCGCACCTGGGACACCAGCCACGTCTTGTAAGTATGCGAATCGAAATCGAAAATGATACCAGCACGAGTACCGCATGAGATCAAAAGTGCCACAAGTCGTCCATAACCAAGCAACAAATGTACCTTACTACTTCTGTAAAAACTAACCAGCCCTAATCTAAATCAAAATTTCGAGCTCGAGACCATTCAAAACTGTTATTTAGATGCCCTGCCCTGCCCATATTTAGTTGTCAAAATCTCCCCTGTCTAAATTGCAGAAGAAGAATTGAAAGAGGAAGGTGTTTTGTGGGAGCGGGTTCGATCGTTCCATTATGCTGTAAATGCGTGGGTAAATGTCTTATGATTTCTCAATAACCGCTCCGTCCTCTGGCTAATTTTGATTTTGTAGTTTGTATTTGGCTTGAAGCTTCCCTCTAACAAACTAGCCTATAAGTACATGTAATATAAAGCTTGTAGACCGATCTGTATACGCTTACTACCAACAGTTTTTGACTAAACATTGCCCAAGGAATCACTCCGATCCACAATCTACTAACAAAAACACACACACGAGACTCGCCACAATAACTAAAGTTGCACGAGTATTTCTAACCCCGTTCTTGTGTGCCCCTGCAGGAGGACGTTGATCTGGACGACGTGAATCTTGGTTCGGGCGGAGGCCCTGTCACCTCGCAGCCACGCGAACAGCCCGGAGGACAGCCCGTCTTCGCAATGCCGCCGCCCACTGGAGCAGCTGTGGGCGTGAATCCATTCACGGGCGCTCCCGTGGCGGCCAACGAGAATACGTCGCTGAACACCACAGAGCAGACCACATACACGCCAGGTATATAAAGAGTCGAGCCAGCCAGCCAACGGTCGGTCGGTCAGTCAGCCTCCTAAAAGTGGGTGGCATAAAACTTATCCCTAAAGCGTCTTTGACCATCGAACTTGTTAAATGTGCGTAACGTAACTCGAACAAATATTGTAACCTTCGGTCGTTTTGAACCGAAATTGAAACAAAACTCTGTTAACTCTCGAAATATCCCAGTCAGCGCATCGACCCCATACATACATAACACCTCTCTAGCCCGGCCCGGTCTGAGGGCCCGTGAATAGTAGTACATATATTTCTAAACTCTACATGTATTGTATGTAAAGTCGCTGACATACCAGCACGTCGTGGGATCTCCACACAGATACTCACTCTTATACATGTACAACTTTTAATTTGAGACACTGCCTGATCGATTGAATTTATTTTTTTGATTTGACTGATGGCCGTCACATCCTTCCGTTCCACAGGTCTGCGTCACTCACAGTCTCACAGTCACCGCTCCTAAGCGCCCTTTCAAGCATTTGCAAGTTTTTGTTTTGTTAATATTATACATTGGATTACTAAACTCGATCTCTCTGTATGGGCACTTAATAAATTGATCAAAGAAGAAAGACACTGCCATAATCTGCTGCAAAGTTAATTTGCATTCGAATTTTGTTTACTTTTTGTTCGGTTCGTTTGTTATGCAACATGTGGATTTTTATTTTGTTATCACTTATCACTCTCTCTACTCTGTTCTCTCTTTCTCTCTTCACCTCTAGGTATAGTTAATCAAAAATATTAGGCGAGCCCATGGCCCCTGTGCATGCGTACGATTCAGATCTAAACACAGACACAGAAAAAGAAACACAAACTTCAGAAGAAAAAGAAGAAGTTTAGCCGAGCAAAAGCGCTGATTTATTTAATAACTATTAGAAATGTTTTTAAGATGTGTGCGCGTTATGTTGAAGCGAGAAAACATATGAACTTATGTATTAATGTAAGCTTAGCACTTAGCTCTAATTTTAAACAATCTTACTTCGAGGCGGCAGCACTCTTCTGGCAGCTTCCAATTTATGCAGATGTAGATAAAGATGCCGATGCCAGTCAGGGTTGATTTTGGTCCATAGTTCGTGTAACCGTTTCATCATTTCCAATGTTCATGCCCAGACCCCGCGGGTCTGTGCCCGTGTACGCATATTTACATAAACCTAACCCACATTACATACAACTCGAATTGAGAGCGCACCAATAATATACATACTTTACAAAGTACGATTATTTTGATTGAATTGTATGCTGATAGTTAACCAAATCAGATCTATGTAATATCTGGACATTGCTTAGGGAATAGACTGCGTATTGCTCTCCTTACTGCGTAGCTCCATGAATTGAACTGTTTCAACATGGTAGCAGGAACCTGTAATATGTATGTTTATGATATATGTATATTAATTTGCATTTGTGTCGTTGCCTAGCGCCTTCGTTTAGCTAAATTGTTCTGGAATTTCCCTCTTCACCGTTTCTGTTTCGCACTAAATTGTTAATGAATTAACTTATGTAAAGCCGAAAGTATAACCAATTGCAACTGTCGAGTGGTGAGCGGCGGGTCAAGTAGATTTCTCCGATCCGCTCCGATCCAAATGCAAATGTAAATAAGTCAAGTTAAACAATTAAGCATCACACATACCAGACAAACAGTGGAGAAGGAGGAGAAGACGACGAAAGGCGAAACTTAACGGAATATATAAACTATAATAATATACCTTTATACATATATATAATATAAATATATATTAAATACGAGTAATCAAAAGTTCGATTGTAATCCCCCCCAAAAAAGTATTGCACATATGTAATGTATTCTATATTCTTTCCAAACTGAATTTCAATTCCCGGTTTGCTTTCGTTTTTGTTGTTAAACCGCTTTTAAATGTAAATGAATGCGATTAGTCCAGCAAGAATTAAATTTTATATGCAAAAATACTTAGAAACCCCTTTATTGTAACCCCTTGATATCAATTAAATTATGGTGGAGCCAGAGCAAGTAACCCCAGCAATCGCAAGGGGCTGAAATCCTTCGATCTAGGCTCCTTGCCGACCTCGAAAAAGAGATAGATGGGGTCTAACCTAGTATAAAACGCGTACATACATACATACATATATGAAATTCAATTAATGATAATTACATTTTACGGATTTGCGTGTGTATTTATTGTTCGTACAAGTCAAAAGCAAAAAACAATACAAAAATACAAGTAAACTTCACTTAAACCTAATAACATTGTTTTCAAATTTTGAATTATACTCTGGCATGAGTCGGTCCATGAAGCCGAAATCAATAAAATTTACTATATAAACTTAACATTTGAAAGTACTCTACTTCTGGCTAGAGGGAAGCAGTCGACTCTTTTGCGTACTAGCTCGACAGGAGAACTGACCAGCGTAGTGTATGCGTTCCACTCTTACCACGGATCATACTAGAGTAAGAAGCTTCTGCGTATAGAGTACCCACTTGACGGCTCTTTTTGCGATCTTCCTTCCTCTCAATCTCTTCTGCTCTGTTGTTATCGATGGTAAACAAACTGGGCGACAAGCTAACCGTCCTCTTCCTTCGACCGCCTTCGCTGGTCGTGAACTTTTGACAGCTGATACATTCAGCTTTTACTCGCACTCGCTCTTTCTGACTTTGTTTTGTTTTGGGGCAGTAACTCAGCCACGAGACAGCACATGCGCTCTTTCTCCACTGGTCTCTCTCACTCTCCCGCTCTCCGTGTGGCTCCCTAGAAAAGGTGGCCGAGGAAGGCGGCTCGAAACTTCGCTGCAGAGTTGTCAGAATCCGAAGGGCCGTCAGTCGGGAGAGTTTGTTGCGCGGCGCATTTCCTGCCTGCCACAGCGAGAGAGAGAGAGAGAGAAGGGAAACACAATTTTTCCTGGCTGCTGCTCCTGCCAGATTCGATTCGGGAGGACACATTAAAGTGGAAAATGTGAAATGTGTTCGCTATAATTGTCGCAGATAAATCAATTCCGTTGATAATAAGATTACGGACGGAGACCTGGTGAAGAGTGCCTGCCAGAGTGCCGGACGGGGAGGTGGAGCAGGCGAAAAAGGCAAATCAAAAGCAAGCCGTGGAAAAATTCCCGAACTCGTGTGTGCCCCGTGTCCGTGTGGGTGTGGGTGTCAGTGGCAGTGTGTGAGTGTGTGTGTGTGTGTGTTTGTGCGTGGCTTTTTCGCTTTTATTTTTTCATGCGCAATTTGGGTTACAAAGCGAGAAAAACGCTGCTTAAAATGCATTAAAATGTTTTAGGCACACGGGGGCGTCATTGATTTTCCTACGCACAGAAGTATGTTACACAAAGCCGCCAGGCCACTCGACGGGAACAAGCACGAAGCTAAAACTAAATCTGGAAGTGGAAGTGGAAGTGGAACTGTAGCCGACTCTGAGGTCCCGGAACAAAGAAGGCAGGACAACGATGAGGACAAAGACTCGAAGTAGCTGCTCCTAGGCGGCTCCAACCACCACTACCACATCAGTAGCAGTAGCAGCAGCAGCAGTATCGTCAAGAGAGGGCGACGGAGAAGAAACTCAAACGTTGGACACTAAGGAGAGATCCCACCCTGGCTCCCGTACTCCCAAGCAGCGGCATTGCCGGCATCGCCAATGGCAAGCACCACCTCATCTCGCCCACCCACACCTCTCTGAACTCGCTGCCCCCCCTGCCGGCCGGCATATGCAGCAGTGACAGCGGCATCTCCACGCTGAGCGCCATCTCGCCTCCACTCTCGACGACCACAGCAACGAGTGGTGGAGGAGGTGGCAGTCCTCAGTTGCGAACCTCGCCTGCCCTGAGCATGCTGGGCAGCGCCACGGCAACGGCGAGCGGCAAGACCACGCAGAGCCTGACGGCCGGGATGCTGGGACCGGCGGCCAGCATCGATCTGGGGAGCTCCCCGCTCTCACACCGCAACTACAGCCACTCACTGAAGGGCTTCAGCTTCCGGCGGAGCTTCGACGACAAGATCATCACACCGCCGTACCTGTCGCGAGCCCCGCCCGCCATCCCCTATCCGCACTTTCACGCGCCGCCGCCCACCTCGACGACGTCGCACCATCTGCACCTGCACCACCACGGCACGGTCGGCGGTCTTTACTCGCCAGCCCACCCGCAGCCGCTCTCCCTCTCCGCGGTGGCCGCTGCATTGCCGCTGACCTCGTCGCAGTCCACCACCAAGCTCTCCTACCGGGACGACTTTCTGCAGCAGATTGGCTATCTGCCAACGACGCGCATCTACAGCACCCCGACAAGCATCGTGGACGAGGACAAGGCACAGCAGGACTTCCTCTCGCTGTCTCTCTCCCCGCCGCTCAGCCGGCGTCGGGACATGCCGGCGCTGCGCGGACCTTTCGTCAGCCTGTAAGTATTCCCTGCGCCCCATCCCATCCCATCCCGCCGAATCCTTGCCAGAATCGAGCAATCCCCAAGTACTTGTTCAAATCAAGTATACGCCACGTGCTCTGTTCCGTAGCAATTAACTCCGTCCAGCTGTGACACGAGCCCTTCTCGAATCGTCTGTGCCGATGGGCGATACAAGGGTTTCCGGTCCCACTGTGCCATTAACAGTACATACGTACTTACATATGTATGTACATATTTAGTTTTTATATATATGTATACGGTGGGTGACACAGTATCAGAAGTTTGCCGTGGGTGGGAACTAAGTACATAGGAATGAGGAGGCGATTTCAGATATCATTCATGTTCGACACCTCCCTTCTTGCCATTCTCAGCCCACACTGACACACGCATCCCCTTCACCTTCATCTTCTTTACCCTCCCGCTTATTCGTTTCGTTTGTTTACGTTTTTAATTTTCTGCAAAATCGCAAAGTCGCCATCACGTGACGCCAGCAAACGAGAATGGCTATCCTAACCCGTGGCGCCCGTTGTACTCCCGGCAAACCCTTCCAATTCCACCCACCCACACCCACACCCATGCACACACTCTCATGCAGTTGGCCAGAGCTATGACGTTTCCCTCTCCAAACCCACGTTCACGCACTCCACTCGTCGTTGTTTTTGCACCGATTCTTATACCCGGTACTCAAAGAGTAAATATACCCTATTTTATTAGTGGGCGAAAAATGTAACACACAGAAGCATATATGTACACATATGCATTCTTGATCACTATCAATGGCTGCTTCGATATGGCTATATCTGTCTGTCCGTCCGTCTGTCCGTCCTGATGAGTACATAGCACGCAGAGCCCATAAGAGCTAGAGCAACCTAGTGTTGCATCCAGACTTCCGTAATATCACACTGTTCCAAGTATATTTCGAAATTTGGCCACGCCCCACGAAGGACGATAATATGTCACATCAGATCAGATCGTATCAGATCCTTGATTGTGTTTGGTTTTTAAAGGTGCTGCTATACAGATTAGCTGTTTGGAACCCATATAAAACATTCATTAGAGACAACAATTCTGTTGTAGGCCTCGATGAGTAGATCACTTCCTCATTTTTGGGTACTGCAATACACCCCCAAAACTAGAATTCCCTAAAGTTTGGAAGAAGTTTATGCATGTAGTTGTAGATACTGGGATGTCTTGGGAACGATCTTTGGTTTCAAAAGAAAAAAATATAAACAATCGCTAAAACTGTTAAAATAATTATTTCGAAATCGTATGCTAAATCTGCAAGGGTATATAAACCTTCGACTTTCTTCGCTTTGGTTCTATTTTTATTGTTCATTTTATTTGGCGTCTATAAATAATAATATTGAGGAAGCAGCAGCAGCCGCAGCAGCAGCAGGAGAACAGCAGAAGCAGAACGCTCTCCGGCCCAAGGTGCGTGACAGTCCATGTATGGAACATTAGGGTGACTCATGGCACGACGACTTACTAGAATTAGCAAACAGTTTTGATGGACGAGAGGTGGCGGAAAAATCAATACTAGAGTCTGCTTAGTCATTTTAAAAACTTCAAAATTTGCATTCAACCACTCCACCCCACTCAGGGGTAGTTCTGTTATACATATAAAGGAACCCCATTTAAATTTGGTTTGAAATGTTTTTGGAATTTGAAATATTCGGAATCCTGCATGCCGAATAACCCTTCCCTACCCCTCTCAGTGCAGTGTATGTGTGTGTGAAACAGTGAAAGAATACGTAAATAGGCGAGAAGACGAACTTGGCAACATGCCCAAGAAATCAACCCAATGATGATAAAGACGATGATGATGATGATACCCACGCTGTGTGGTGTGTGATAAAACATCCATCCGTACATGTGGCGGAATCTTTCCTGGTGTGGTGCAGTCCATGACCGGCCACGAAAACCAACCAACGACATCGAATTGATGAAGTACATTGGATAATGACGCCGCCAAAAGACAGACTGACACACAATACACACTCGTGCCGAGAGCGTGAAGCGCCGCGGCGTAGGTATGGGTACGGGCGATATAGGTGATCCGTAGACAGTCGTCACACACTAGAACGGACGGCCTCCGGACGGACAGTCGCAGCAGGCGGAGAGACTAAACTTAGTTGCGACAAAACAGAAAACGTTCTGACGTGTTGGAACACGAACGCTCTTGCTCTGGTTCTGGCTCTTGCTCTTGCTGTGGCATTCTCCTCTGGCTGTGGCCGCTATTCTCGCTCAGGAAGAGACGGGCGAAAACAAAAAAGCGAAAAGCCATTTAAACATTCTCGCGGACGCAACTGAACGAATCGGTCGGAACGGCAAAGAACTGAGTCGCAGAGGATAGCAACAAAGATACAGATACTTTTCATAAAATCTTAATTATTTTTGCGTTTTGCGCTGCGCGATATTTGGTTTTCACCCGATTTCCCCCGCACTGGTTATGTAAGGGGTGTGTGTTTACTCCTCGCTGAGCAAAACATTCGTCGGGTAGTCTCCGCAATGCAAGTGAAGGCATAGGAAAGTCAAGGTCGCCACCCCAACCACCCCGTTACTGCAGCCGGGGGGGCCATGTAGACGCGACAATCGAAAAGAAATCCAATTGTCGAATCGAGCACTGAAGCATATAGAAAATTAACAGCTGGGGAATGAGAATGGATGCAACCTGCCCAAGGGAGGACAATGCCACAGCGACAGCTGGGGCAGAGTGGCACTGGATAGCCGACCCCTGGCTGGAATTGTACCCCAGCTATCTGAGGAACCTGCAGGCCGTCATGGACTTGGCCAGCTGGGCGAATCAGCAGAGCCGTCATGTGGCAAACACCCTAGCCCAGGACCACATCTTCGTTGGCGTACTTCAGGTCTCCCTGCTCCTCTTCTTTCTCTACCTGATGTACCAGCTCCAACAGTGGAGCAGCCGGAGCCCGGAGGAGCCGCCCAGCGTCACGGCCACAGCCGACGTCACGAAGCAGTTGATCTGCGAGTTCAACTTTGTCTCCGAGCAGGAGAAGCGCGCCGCCCAGGAGGCGGAAACGGAGGCCTTGCTCGAGGTGGAGGAGAAAAAGCGTCGCAAGAGGTTCACCAAGAAGCGCGTCTGCGTCTCAGCCGGGCCCGTTCTCATCGCAATCCGCCAGCAGTCGAGGCGTCCCAAACCACATAGACACCAGGCCTTGGTCTTCGAGCCAATCTCTCCGATGGAGCGTGTGCTGGAGAACTACCTTCCGCCGAGAGAGCAGCCATTGACCATCAGGCTCACCCAGCAGGAGGCTGTCCCTGTTCCTGCGAAGGAGGAAGAAACAACGGAGCTCCCAGAGTTCATGTGGGTCTGGGTTGGGCTTTTCTCTGTCCCTAGCATAAATGATCCCTTTTTCCCATCCATGCGATCCTCTATCAATACTAATTCGTCTAATTTAATGATAATTTCAGTTCGGAGCCACGCGGTACTCTGAGCACGACAGACGAGATCTACCCTGACTCGTCGGACAGCAGCCTGTATGTGTCGGACGAGGAGCAGGAGGACGCCTCTCAGTATTGCCGCGGCGGCTACCATCCGGTGGTCATTGGCGACATATTCGACAATCGGTTTCGGGTCGTCCGCAAGCTGGGCTGGGGTCACTTCTCCACCGTCTGGCTGTGCCGGGATCTTAAGTGAGTAATCCAAATTGTTGTATTCCTTTTGGCGACATTCCATAGCCTCGTATTGTTACCCCGCAGAGACGAAAAGTACGTGGCTCTCAAGGTGGTGAAGAGCGCCCCGCACTACATCGAGACGGCCGCAGACGAGATCCGCCTGCTGGAGGCCATCCGGGACGCGGATTCGCTGGACATGAAGCGGGAGCGCATCGTGCGGCTGATGAATCACTTCACTGTGCGCGGCGTGAACGGGATGCACACGTGCCTGGTGTTCGAGGCACTCGGCTGCAGCCTGTACAAGCTGATCGTGAAGAACAACTACCAGGGACTGGCCATCGCCCAGGTGCGCAACATCATCAAGCAGGTGCTCGAGGGTCTGGACTACCTGCACAGCAAGTGCAGCATCATCCACACGGACATCAAGCCGGAGAACATCCTCCTGGTGATTGACAATGCGGCAGCGATGAACCAGCAAATCGACGACGAGATCAACAGTCTGCGCGTGAAGGGAGCCGACTTCCCCGACTCGTACAGTAGGTGTCCTTTCGTCAGGAGGGTTATCCATTCAGGCAGCTAACCCTATACTCTCGCATTATCTTCCACCAGTCAGCTCCATCGAGAAACAGACCAAGACGCGGGCCAAGTGGCCACTGATCGAGCCTAACGGATCGACGAACACCAACACGAACACTAGCAACAGCACGGGCAACACCTCGACCTCTTCGACGCCGCTGGCAGCGGTGGCCATGTCCTCGCTGGAGAAGGACGACACCACCACCTCGTCCACCCTCAACTCAAACACCACTTCCTCGCTGGCCTCCAAGTACTCGAGCTTGCTCGGCGACAGCGAGTGCAACGGCATCGGCGGTGGCGTTTGCCTGGTCGGGGGTCTGGGTGGTGGCGTCGAGAGTCCCATCCTGAACAACCGATATCGAACCGAGAAGAAAATCACTGCCAAGGTAAGTCAAAAGTTCACAGGCTCTGGCTTGGCTCCCGCTGCCCCTTTCTCCTCACACTCGACAGCGCTTACCCTCGAAGGATAACTCGCCCCCCCTCTTACCTCTTGGTGTGCGTCCATTCTGCACTCTCGATATTGTCAATCACCAATACAGCCACACCTACACACACACACACACACACACGCACAGCAACAAATTATTTAATTTTATAATTTTCGTTTTGTTTTCCACGTTGCCTTTTGATTTGATCATCCGCTGCAGTCTTCCGTCGACTGCGATGACGACACCCTGGGTGACAGCAGCACCATGGCCAGCGACACGCCTACGGATGACCCCGACGGAAGTCCCAGTGCCAACCTGGATAAGGTAAAGTGGATATCGGACTTTGTTCGAGCCGCAGAGCTCGTGTTCGAGGATAGCTCATTCGTTCGCTAGTTCCCTCTGTTCTTCGTTCGTTCTGTGATTTTGCTTTGAATGTTTGGTCGGGATGGGAAGAGTGAGAGTTCCTGTCCCGGCTGCTGCTTAGTTACTGTTCGACCATTGCTCTTAAGTTTATATCCAGATTCATTATACCACACACACACACACACACACACACACCCGTCACACTAACAAATTTACACTCATACTCAACACAAGTTTTAGAACTAGATTGAAGTGCTCTATGATAAATGCTTAATGTTTGATTGTGCTGCTAGCAGCTTTAGATGTATGTGTAATGGGTCCAAGGCCACGCCCACCTGCATTCTCCCGCCTAAACCCGCATATGTGTACTTATTTCTATGGTTATATCATTTGCGCCTCTGTCTAAGCTGCTCGTTCGTGTTCTAATTAACGTTCTGTGTAATGGTCACTGGATCGGGAGGAGCATATTCCCTCTGGGTAGTGACCAAGGGGCTCAAAGTTCGGATCTCCCCGTAGAATCCTAGCTCTGAGTTTCTTCTTGTATGTGTTTCTTAAATGCACTTAAAAAAGACAAACAAAACAAAACAAAAATCGAAGCAAACCAACATTGTGTGTTCTTTTTCTTCTCCTTTCTTTCTTTGTGTGAACCAATTTGTATAACATTTTATGATATTACGATATATGAAGCAGCTGCCCAGCTCCAACTCCAACTCCAACTCCAATTCCAACCCCAAGCCCGCCTCCACCAACAGCTCCTGCCCCTCCTACAACGCTCCTACAACGAATATCAACCCAAAGATCAACACAAATACTCAAAGCACGTGCACGTCCATGCCCAGCGAGTACACCAACAACCAGAACTGCCCCTCCACAAACGCCACATCGGCCACTCCTAGTGCAACTCCTGCCTTAGTTTCCACCACCGCCTCAGCCACAGCCACAGCCACAGCCACAGCCACAGCCATGCCCCCCAGCACGTGCACGTACTCGTTCACGCATCTAGCGCCAACAACAACGACTCCAACTGCAACAACTGCATCTGCAAGCACAGAGCTGTACAATGGCGACCATACATCTACAACTACAACCAACGCGACCTCAACTACAACAACAACAACAACAACAACAACCACAACTGCAACCACAACTGCAACTGCATCAGCAAACACATCCGCTAAACTAAATGTCCATGCCAATGCCATTCCTTCGCAGAACCAGAGTCAGAGTAGCCAGAACAACACTTACACGATACAGTCGCTCATCAGCAACAGCAACGTGCGAGTGAAGATCGCGGATCTGGGCAACGCATGCTACGATGTGAGTATAACCTGTACCCCCACATTCGCGTACGTTTTGGTAGCTCTATTTATCGTTTACCATCCGGCAGTACCATCACTTCACCGAGGACATACAGACGCGGCAGTATCGATCGATCGAGGTCCTGCTGGGGGCACCCTACAACTATACCGCCGATATCTGGAGCACCGCCTGCCTGGCCTTCGAGCTTGCCACCGGTGACTATCTGTTCGACCCACACGCTGGCGAGTCCTACAGCCGAGACGAGGACCACTTGGCGCACATCGTCGAGCTGCTTGGCTCCATTCCGCAGTCGGTGATACTGCGGGGCAAGCACGGACTCAAGTACTTCACCAGTTATGGTAAGCAATCAATTAGTTGCAGACCTAATATTTGGGATCATTTAAATACTTTCTGGTGCAGGCAACCTGAGGAACATCACCAAGCTGAAACCCTGGAGCCTGATGAACGTGCTCGTGGAGAAGTACGACTGGGACCCGGTGGAAGCCAAGAAGTTCTCCGACTTCCTGCTGCCCATGTTAGAGTATAATCCCGTCATTCGCGCCTCGGCTGCCGAGTGCCTGCAGCATCCCTGGCTCGAGCAAGAGGAGTTCGTCTAGGGGAGAGCGCTGGAGAGGCAACAGAGGGCAGACTCATATACCCATGAATAATGCATAACATACGTATTTCGTACTCATATTTCTAGGCTTAAATTTTATATGCGACCCAGTTTGTTATAAACGAGAAATTATAGTTGATAGCGTTAACAGCGGAAACGGAAACAAATCTCTAGAGTTAAAGGATTCGATACACACACACACACACAAACGGAAACACACACACGTACATGACTGGACAGGAGAGGAGATGTGGAGGAGCCGTCTGGAATTTTTTAAGCTATTTTCATTTGGAACACAATTTTTGTACTCGAGAGCTTTAAACGTAATTGCTAAAGAGCGATTTTATTTTTAACAAAACAAACAATGAAAACGAAAGCGAGAAAATGCGCAAATCCTTTTCACGATTTTATTTCAACTGCGTACATATATATACACAAACATATATACATATATGCACAAAGTATATATACATATATATTTTATATTTGAAGAGAAACCAGTTAAAATTAAAAGACAATGACGACAATTTTGAAGTCAACAGATGCCTAAACTGACTGACTGAAATGGAGAACACTTTCAAGCAAAGACACCCCAAAATAAAACATGCTAAATAAATTATACGAAATAGCTAAAATAATAATACTACGAGTAACTAACTATAAAACCCATAAAATGTATGGTATGTGTATAATTAACGAGCCCTAAGTGTAGATATCGACAATGTTCAATACAAAACAGATACAAAGACAGATTAAGGTACCGATAAAGATACAGAAAGCTTTCTAGCAGCGTTTAGTGATTGTGGTACATTTAACCAAGCAGATTATCGATTATTGTAGCTCCCTAACGCCATAATTTTTCGGTTTGCCATAACCCTTATTTGGAGCGTATCTCCTGCACCCAAGAAGATAACTAATCTGCAGTTATGTTTTTATTTCCACAACAGTAAACTTAATAGGCCATTAACCAACTCGTTGTAGTGGAATTGAGAACTCTTAAACAAAGTTTACACAACACCAAAACAAAATAATACCAATGATATTTAACGAGAAATCGAATTCGCATTACCAACCAGATCTAAGGAACGAAAATATTTTATTACTTGCCTACAAGTATTTGTACACAAGACAAGCCTAAGATGTAACTTTGAACGTGACCAAATAATTTAATAATCGGAATATTTTTCCCCGAATCACACACACACATATTGAATATACACCAAACGGACGGACTCAAGGCTTGATCGATATGCCTGAGTCCATGCAATAATATGCAACTAATATTTGGGCAGCTATCCACAAGAATATAGAGATGAGCTGCTCGTTCGGGGGACCGACCGATAGACACATCTTTCAGTAAGCCGAATAAAGAATATACATACCGATCAAATAACTTAATAACCCATACTTGTCATATTTTGTTTACATAAGCACTTTATTCGAAGTTGTGTAAAAATGCAGAGTCTAGAATACAATTAGGGTATGTTTAACAGCTTTAGAGTATATTATATTAGCATTAGTGATCGACTGTCGACCGGCGGATACGGCTACGGGCTACGGTGTATAATATTCGGAATACAGCGACGGCGCTTATAATAATACTCGATGCTCGAACGTTGCTTAGAGACCCAGTATCTGTTCCTGCTTGTAGACGCCATGGTAGGCGTTGCGAATGAGGACATATGGGAAGCAGGACTCCAGCAGATCCATGGTGAGGAACGGCGATTGCTTAACAATCTCGTCGAGCAGCAAGTAGATGGACTCGCGGTTGCGGGTAGCCTCCTTGTCGGACTCCTGCCCCAGGCGAAGCAGCGACGAGCTGGCCAGAGCCAAGAACTCCTTCATGCGATCTTCCATGTCGTTCTGCCCGCAAATGGTGAACAGAGCGCCAAAGATGTTGTTGATGGCCGCCGCCATGCAGTGCGTGTTGTTCGAGTGGCCATCAATGGTGGCCCTGTAGAAGGAGTTCTCGTTGCGCGCCAGCTTCGGGATGGAGACGGCCACGAACACCATCAACAGACAAGCCGTGAGATGCTCTCCTTCGTCAAACTCTGGCTTCTTGGATTTAAGGGTGGTGGCCAGCGTAGGGTCCACCTTGCAGAGCAAACCAGCTGCCGATGCCATCTCAGAGGCAACGCGTATCTGATCTCCACCTGGTAAATGCTCCTGAAAGTCCTTCACCGAACTCAGCAGGAAGGGAATACGTTTGTCCAGCACATCCACGAGAGCCTCATGCACCAGATTGCGGAAGCAAATGATCACCCCAATGATGGTCATGCGCTGCAGCACCCGATCCACGTCCTGGAGCCGCTTGCACTGCTCCTTCATCACCTCCGGCTTGTCGAAGCTGGTCCGCAGTGTGATCAGCACCTCCTTGTTGGTGCCAACAAGCGTCTTGAGCTCCTGCACCTGGTTGGCTATGTGCCACATTAGCGTCTCGTTCAACGTTTTGATGCCATATGGACCGACGAGCTCTGCCAGAGCACGTAGTTCGTTGAGATCGGAGAACTCTTGCGGATTGAAGGGCACCCAGCCCTCTGGGGAAATGGGCACGAAGGCCTTCTGGTTGATGGAGAATACAATGTTTCCCGCTGATACGCGTCTCAGTAGAACCTCGCTGTACCAAGTGTTGTACAGGGCGGCAATGGTCTTCTCGCCATGCGAGTCCAAGGCCTGCGTCTGCTGCAGCAGGCAATTGTTGAATACTCGCGTTATGTCAATGTGAACGTAGTTCTCCACGGTTTGCAGCACATTCATGTAGGCTCGCACGCTGGCCAGCAGCTCCGAGGGCTTGGCAATCTCCATGGTCTCCTGGTTAAACATCACCATGCCCACGAGGTCTCTCGAGAAACGGTGCTCCAGGTTCTGACAGAGATATTCGCGAGGTGCAAATGCGAATTCCCACACATTGACAGTGGGACAGTAATTGATGGCATAGCAGAGCTCCGTCAGGGCCATGTGCAACTTGTCCATGGTGGTCAGATCCTCGCGCGTCTTTCGATATGACTCGTCTCCTGGCTTGCGTATGTCGTCAAAGTGCTTCGACTTAGACTTGTCCTTTTTCTTGCGGGCAGACTGCACGGACAGAATCTTGGCGCAGTGCTTGGGCAGCAAAGCATCTGCCATGGTGCACTGCTCATCGCAGATGGTGGTAATAATGTTCTTGGCCTCCTTGGCCATTTCCTCCAGAAATATGTTGACCACACTCAGCGATCTTTCCCGGATGTGGTGACGCTCCTCTGGGCACATTTCGTGAGTGCAGTTCTGGAAATGACTGCAGATAAGGGGGAAGGCTATGATATAGCGATTCTGAGCCGGGAACTCCAAACACATGTGAAACTGGTCGTCAAACATTTTGTTGTAGAAGCAAAATATGCTCAGATCAGAGGTCTCCACAAGTATCTCATCGAGATTGTCCACCACCCGCGTGTGGAACACCATGGAGTCCAGCAGACGAGCCAGTTCCGCATGCTCAGTTATTCTTAGGGCAGCCTTTCCCACGCTCATGTAGGTCTGCAGACGGAACCAGTCCAATCGGAAGGGTCGGAAGTAGAACAGCTCGTTGTCCTCCACCTGCTTCACAGTCAATCCGGCCGCCGTGTTATACAAAGAGCTGAAGATAATGCTCTCATCTTCCGGACACATCTGCAGGCTCTGCATGCGAATGTTCAGGTCCGTGGCGTCGAAGCCAGACAAATATTGCACATAGTACCGCTGCATCACCTGGCTGTACTTGCGGACCAAGGCGCGCAGCTCTTCCATATGAAAGAGCAGCTCTGGCAGCTGGCGATCCACCAGATCCTCGTTGCTTTTGCCTAGAAAGTAAGAATTCGACGTGCGGGATAATAAGAGTGAATAAATCATAAGCTAGGAGTACGAACCTTTGTGCTTGAGCAACGGAGGATTGTCGTTGTGCCGCAGTAGCCAGAGAATTTCGTCGCGCGCTAGGCAGAGGCCAATGAAGATGAAGATTGCCTTGGGACCGAGCAGTCCCGGCTGATCCGTCATTATCAGAGCCAGCTCCTTTAAGGCCGTGCGCAGAAACTTGCGGCGCTCGCGATGCATCAGAGCTGCCTTCTGTACTGCCGTGTTGTACGCCTCCTTGACCTCGGCTATCCTCTTGCTGTAGCCCTTGATGCCGTCAAAGGTGGACTGTATGTACTGATGTATCTGCAAGACCTCGTCGCGGAAGAGGGCCACCACCCAGCTGGACTCCAAGGCAGACACCCAGATCTTATTGACCTCTGGGTACTGGCCCAGCATTTGGTGGTTCAGAAGTAGGCCGAAAATAATCCAGCGGTCCATTGCCTCCAGGGAGATGTACTCGCAGGACATGGTATCCGTTCTGACGGCTTTCAGGAGTATAGCAGGATTCCCCACCAAGCTTAGCTTCTGCATCTCCCGCCACTTGTCCGCCGGCAGGTTCCGCAGAGCGTAGATGGAGGTGAGCGAGCGCAGGGCATTCGTGAGCAGCCGCTGGTGTGGAATAAACTCCTCCGAGAGTTTCTTCAGGGGAACCTCGTAGTCCAGGATCATCTGACCCAGGCGGGGAAAGCCAGTGTCCGCCTGATTATTCTGAAGCTCAAAGGCAGCGTTGTACAGACCCAACACAGCCTTGCGATCCTCGACTCTGGACAATACAATCATCAAAGAGACGTATGTCACCACCAAATCCAAGTAATTTTTGGTCAACTCAAAGTTCAACGTAATGTCCAAGTGGATCTGACAGGCATCCATTGTAGTGAGCAGTTCGCAGACATTGTCCTTGAAATCCAACAAGTCCACAAAAGTATGGTAATACAGTGAGAGCGATTTAATTATCTCCGCCTTGATGTTGACGATGGCATTCAACCCCTTTACATCTATGTTGGGGAATCGCTTCACAATAAATTTGATGCTCGACTCCAGGGACTTCTCGGAGAGGAACCCCGGCTTGGATTTGGTGTCGCCACAGGCCTTTTTGATATTGTATATTCGCGTGAGTATGCCCAGGCCGCGATCATTCAAGATAATCAGCTTCTCAGCTATCTTTTGCTGATTCGGAAAAATTGGGCGTGCCATTTCCGATGACTGATGGTATCGAGCAGTGGCTGAGGGCGAGTCTCCGACGTGGCCTAGTACACAAATGTGCGCTGGCGAACTATTTTAGCTGGCGATAAGGGCTAATCGGTACTCTATTTATATTTGTAAGATAGTTTAATTGGCTAAAAAAAATTCCACAAAAATGTACACATATCTCTTCTTCTTGTTTTCAGCCACTAGTGATGGGCGGCTAGCGATAGTTCCACTCCGTCACTTGTCTCGTGATTTTTAAAATACCCAGTCACTGTCGTGGCAAATTGGAAATTATTTGAAACAATCAAAATTATTTTATTATTATTTTATTAAAGTCCAGAACCAGATGATTTATTTTCGTTGATCATAGTACTCAGATCCCAGATTGCTAGCAAACTGTGCAATACATTTTTTTGGCGGCAGAGTGTGACCAGAAATAAAAGCCGAGCTCCATACGGTTACACTGCTCAGGAAGACGTTTTCGTTTGTTTACGTTTTGAACACAGGTATGTGAGAAGTCAATATGGCGTTCAAATAAGTTAAATAAATGAAAAGTGCAAATAATTTTAATATATTTGCATTTGTCTATACAAGTTTGTTCCTTCTTGCCTTTTGACGATCTCAAGCTCGTTGATAAACATGGTGATCATTTATCTTTCCGACAAAAGCTGTTTATAGATGTGCCAGCTCATGCAATAGGTCTCAGGGTGCAGCTATCATGGTCGACGTAGATTAGTTAATAAATTATTTTTTAAATAAGAAATTAACAACAAGTTGTCAAATTATTTACATTTCATTCCACCTCGTTTTATTTCTTTCATATATTTTTTTTTTTTTTTTAGGTTTTAAGTTACCGCTCTACCCTTAGGTAGAGGGGAATTATTTGGCCACCCGCCTTTACAAGGGGGAAATCGCCACGTCGTAATATGTAACTTGTTACAGCTTTGCTCCAATACTTACCTGGGGTAGAGGTTATTTTATTTTTTTATTTTTTGTTTTTTTTTCTTTCATCTATTGCTGTTGACCTTTTTACGAATATTTTGCGTGTCTGAGTACTGGGCTTCATAGTCAATACAATAAAAAAATTACTGTAAGTTAGTATTTACGGTATCTTTTTAAAAAAAAGAGTGTAATTTGGTTATATTTTTGAGCGTGCGGTCACACTGGTCACTCAGCGCACGTTGGCAAAATCGCCGCAAATCATTTCTTGAAACGAAAGGTGAGAAATAACATAAGAATTTGGATTTTACTTCAACGGCGGAGTTTTGCAGCCATGGGAAAGAAATTGCAGAGAAGTGACGTTTGCCGAGTGCCGGAAAATATTAATTTCCCGGCCGAAGAGGAGAATGTACTTCAGAAATGGCGTGAAGAGAAGATCTTCGAAAAGTGCAGCCAGCTGTCAAAGGGAAAGCCAAAGTAAGTTTTGCATACTATTGCGTCAGCCGCACTTACTCAAAAATATGCATTATTAAATGAATTAGGTACACGTTTTACGATGGCCCACCTTTTGCCACCGGTTTGCCTCACTACGGGCATATTCTAGCCGGCACAATAAAGGACATTGTAACACGCTACGCCTACCAGCAGGGATACCATGTGGATCGGCGCTTCGGCTGGGATTGCCATGGCCTGCCTGTGGAGTTTGAGATTGACAAGCTGTTGAACATCCGCGGGCCTGAGGATGTGGCCAAAATGGGCATAGCTGCCTACAATGCCGAGTGTCGGAAGATTGTCATGAGGTATGCGGATGAGTGGGAGAACGTTGTCACTCGGGTGGGTCGGTGGATAGACTTCAAGAACGATTACAAGACTTTGTATCCTTGGTATATGGAGTCCATTTGGTGGATATTCAAGCAGCTGTTCGACAAAGGTATGGTGTATCAGGGAGTTAAGGTCATGCCTTATTCGACTGCCTGCACAACGTCACTGTCTAATTTCGAGGCGAATCAGAACTACAAGGAGGTCGTGGATCCTTGTGTTGTCATAGCTTTGGAGGCATTGACACTGCCAAACACTTTCTTCCTGGTGTGGACCACAACGCCCTGGACGCTGCCGTCGAATTTTGCGTGTTGTGTACATCCCACGATGACCTATGTGAAGGTATGTTTTAAAATATGTAAATTGCTGAATCAAATTACATTTCCCTGCCAATTCAGGTACGCGATGTCAAGAGCGATCGGGTGTTTATTCTTGCGGAGTCACGTCTGTCCTATGTCTACAAAACGGAGACAGAGTACGAAGTGAAGGATAAGTTTGCTGGCAAAACTCTCAAGGATCTGCACTACAAGCCGCTGTTTCCGTACTTTACGAAGCGTGGTGCCGAGGTGAAGGCCTACCGCGTGCTGGTCGATGAATATGTCACGGAGGATTCAGGTACAGGCATTGTACACAATGCTCCCTACTTCGGCGAGGACGATTACCGCGTCTGCTTGGCAGCCGGAATCATCACAAAGTCAAGCGCGGTGATTTGCCCTGTCGACGATGCGGGACGGTTCACGAAAGAGGCCAGCGATTTTGAGGGCCAATATGTTAAAGATGCCGACAAGCAGATCATGGCCCATTTGAAGGCGAGCGGCAATCTGGTGTCCAGTGGTCAGGTGAAGCATAGCTACCCCTTCTGCTGGCGGTCAGACACTCCGCTGATTTACAAGGCCGTGCCCTCGTGGTTTGTGCGTGTCGAACACATGTCCAAAAATTTGCTGGACTGCAGCTCTCAGACCTATTGGGTGCCTGACTTTGTGAAAGAGAAACGATTCGGAAACTGGCTCAAGGATGCCAGAGATTGGGCTGTAAGTAAAATTTGTTTATACATTTGTAAATTCTAATCAAGATGCAACAATCTATTCCCTTAAGATATCCCGTAATCGTTACTGGGGTACTCCAATTCCCATATGGCGTTCGCCCAATGGAGATGAGACTGTGGTAATTGGCAGCATCAAACAATTAGCGGAACTTTCCGGCGTTCTTGTTGAGGATCTGCACCGTGAGACCATTGACAATATTGAGATACCTTCAGCTATTCCCGGAAACCCTCCACTGCGTCGGATTGCTCCCGTTTTCGACTGTTGGTTCGAGTCCGGATCGATGCCGTTTGCTCAGCAGCATTTTCCGTTCGAGAACGAAAAGGACTTTATGAACAACTTTCCTGCTGACTTCATAGCAGAGGGCATTGATCAGACCCGCGGATGGTTCTATACGCTCCTTGTGATCTCGACGGCGCTCTTCAATAAGGCGCCGTTCAAGAACCTCATCGCAAGCGGATTGGTGCTGGCAGCCGATGGTCAAAAGATGTCCAAGCGCAAGAAGAACTATCCCGATCCCATGGAGGTCGTCCACAAGTATGGAGCCGATGCTCTGCGCCTGTACCTTATTAATTCCCCGGTGGTGCGAGCCGAGAGTCTGCGCTTTAAGGAGGAGGGTGTGCGGGACGTCATCAAGGATGTGTTTCTTCCGTGGTACAATGCCTACCGTTTCCTACTGCAAAACATCGTTCGTTACGAGAAGGAGGACTTGGCGGGCAAGGGCCAGTACACCTATCAACGCGATCGTCACTTGAAAAACATGGATCAGGCTTCAGTTATCGATGTGTGGATATTGTCGTTCAAGGAATCTCTTCTAGAGTTCTTTGCCACCGAAATGAAGATGTATCGACTGTACACAGTCGTGCCCCGACTCACGAAATTCATTGATCAACTGACCAACTGGTGAGATATATAATTTCAAGACCTGGCGCAAATTCCAATAACAAGAGTTCGTTTGAAGGTATGTTCGTCTCAATCGTCGACGCATCAAGGGAGAGCTTGGAGCAGAACAGTGTATCCAGTCGCTCGACACGCTTTATGATGTTCTATACACTATGGTTAAAATGATGGCCCCTTTTACGCCTTACCTCACGGAGTATATATTCCAACGGTTGGCCTTGTTCCAGCCACCTTGCTCCTTGGAGCATGGTGATTCAGTGCACTTTCAAATGATGCCCGTTAGTCAGAAGAAATTCATTCGGAATGACATCGAGCGCTCTGTAGCCTTGATGCAGTCGGTTGTGGAGCTGGGACGCGTTATGCGTGATCGACGCACTCTGCCAGTTAAGTATCCTGTTTCGGAGATAATCGTGATTCACAAAGACGAGCAAACCCTGGCGGCTGTCAAGAGTCTTCAAGACTTTATTCTCAGCGAACTGAACGTTCGAAAACTGACATTAAGCTCTGACAAAGAGAAGTATGGAGTAACTTTAAGAGCCGAGCCCGATCACAAGGTAAGTTATTGACTACTTGTTATGTAAGGAATTATTATCAAAGTGAAAATCTCTTTTTAGACGCTCGGCCAGCGACTTAAAGGCAACTTCAAGTCTGTAATGGCTGCTATCAAGGCGCTTAAGGATGATGATATTCAGAAGCAAGTTGCTCAGGGGTACTTCAACATTTTGGATCAGCGCATAGAGCTGGAGGAAGTTCGGATAATTTACTGCACGTCCGAGCACGTGGGAGGCAACTTTGAAGCCCATAGCGACAATGAGGTTTTGGTCCTCTTGGACATGACGCCCAACGAAGAGCTACTTGAAGAAGGCTTAGCACGCGAAGTCATCAACCGAGTACAAAAGCTGAAGAAGAAAGCTCAACTGATACCGACCGATCCCGTTCTTATCTATCATGAGCTTACTGCCAACGGCAAGAAGGAAACCTTGGAGGCTGAAACTCAGCTAAAGAAGGTTTTGGCAAACTATGCATCCATGATCCAGACTGCCGTCAAATCCGAATTCGCACCGTATTCAGCTAATCAGGCAGCTAAAAAACGCCTTATCGCTACTGAGCTAGTGGACCTGAAGGGGGTTCCTTTGAAGCTGACTATTTGCTCCACTGAAGAGCTGCAGTTGCCTAGTCTGGCTTGGTTGAACGTAACCTTGGCCGAGGATGTGAAGCCACGCTTCGGAAAAAGCAATAAGGCGTCTCTGTTGCTTCAGCATAATGTTACTAAGAAGCTCATTACCTTGTCTATGTTACGAAATGAGTTAGAGCTGTTATTCGGCCTATACGGAGTCAATTACAACATATATGTTATCGATCAGCAGAAGAATGTCAGTGAGCTGAAGTCCATAGACAAAGGCCTTAGCGGAAATCTTTTGGTTCTAGCCCGAAGTGCGAACACGCTCCAGACGACATCAGGATATGAAGTGGCCGCAGCCCCGTACTCAAAATTTGTTAACCAGCCATCAGGCAGTACCGCATTCACGGAGAATCCTACAGGACATGCTCTAGTTTAAATGAGTTGCTTTTGTTTGTAGTACTCTATTGTAATCGAACATGAGGTCGGTTAGCGACACACGTGCCTCAATAAACACAGTAAAAAGATTTTTATAGTCGATAGGAAATGGTGATTGAAAATTTGGAATATCACTAGGAAAAATATCCTTGGTAAGGATTCAATCTAGGGTGTTCCTTTCACCACAAAGAGCGTCGCACGCCAATATCCGACAAAAAATGGAAAAGTTATAGAGCTATGGGAATTCTAATTACAAATTTCGCATAATCCTTAATGTTCTTGAATCCAAACTCATTGCAAACAATGCTAGATATTCTTCTCATCACAAGGAGCCAGAAAACAGCAGTTATAGCCTACAAGGGAGTAACCTTAAAAATAGCTTTACATTGGCATTATCTTTAATGTCCAAATGTCATTCCAAGGTGACTACAACTTACTTAGTTGTACATGAATTTCGTTTGTTTACATTTATAATGGTTTAATTTCGAACCTGTAAGATACTTAAATCTTTGAGATACCTGCGTATCTAAGATATAGACAGGAAAAATATACTTTGTAAAAACGTTTCCGACCCTCTAAAGTATATCTATTCTTTATCAGTATCAATAGCCAAGTCGTTATAGCCATGTCTGTCTGTTCGGCTTGTTTGTCGCCTGTTTCTCAGAGGCTCTAAGAGCTGGGACAACCAAGTTTTGCATGCAGGCGGCTGTACCATCCACACTGCTTCAGAGTCTTCTGAAGCTTCACTGCTTCTGGGTCTTTATCGAACATGTTCGATCAATCAGCATTTGACTCAGTGCAGATTTTTTGTAGAGCAGGTTCGATTGTGTTCATTGAAGATCGCTTTTTGAGATATAAGGAGAAGCCTCTTGCTGTCGTGAATGGCTCATCTACATCTATAGCATCTACATCTACTATGATGCCACTTAATAAGTGAGGGAGAGATAGAATAAATGTATAGCTCAGACCTCCTGCAGCCTTACAACCCCTGTAGCATGTTGAAAGGATTATAGTCAGACGGGCTATACAATATCTTCGTAAAATTTAGTACTTGAAATATTAAATTATCACCTATTTTCGCAAAAGTATATTAATCCCCTCTACCCTTATTTCTGCAAATACATTTCAGACAGATCAGGTATTTTAAGAAAATCGTTTGCTGGTCACAGGTACATATGTAGGTATGTACGTACATGTGCATGCATGCATACGGGCTTCTACAAAATAAAATTATTGACATGTTAAATGTCCTAATGCATTTACCAGGTGAAGTCATGTATGCAATATTTTACGTATATTTACAACCAAGTTTTGCATCCAGGCGGCTGTAGTCACACTGCTTCACAGTCTTCTTAAGCTTTGCTGCTTCTGGGTCTGGATCGAACATGTTCGATCAATCAGCATTTGACTCATACATATGTATGAATACTATGTAAGGGGTTTTTTTGTATTGGGGGCCAAAGCTTTCCCAAAGTGCATAGACCTATTACGTGAAGGGCATGTATGTTTCGGCAGCACTCACAAACCTATACATTCAAGCTTGGACCCAGCACTAGAGCCAGGCAGAAGAATTCGTCCTCAAAAATATATTACGCATCTTGATTGATTATATTGTCTTTGGTTATACTTACTTTTGAAGATAAACCGCACCAAACAATTTTAAATTGAGAAGAGTATTCTTTATATTTTCCATTTTATTGAAATCGCTTTTTACTCGTAATATTATTAGTTATTATATATATTTATATGGATGTATTATCATGTATGTATATCGGCTTGCCATAAATGTAGGTATGTTATGTGTACACAATTAATTTTTGCTTTGCGTCGTTTGTTTTTTTATGCATCGTTTGTTTTGTATTTTATAAACTATCTTTACCGCTGCGGTGGCGTCTTGATCGGTATCTGTATGATTTTAAGAGACAATTTAGTACACTTAATACATGTATTATTCGTAAGTTATTTATGCTTCGAATCGTAATTGCTTTGCTTCAACGGCCTGCTGCTTATAGATGTGGTTTCTATTTCATTACAATCAGTTAATAGTTCTAAACATGAGCTCAACTAATTGCTTAAGGTTGGCGCTTGCCATTTGCTGGAAATTTACAGTTCACGTCGAAGAACAAAGGGGACCGGGTATGTAGATCTGAGCACAACAAGTTGGACGTGGACCGTTGGCATCCATCCGTACTTTGTAGATCTTTCGTGTTTCAGTCACAATTGTTTGCTGCTTTATGCTGATTTCAATCATTTTGTTTTGTTCTTTATATATTTTTGGTTAATATAATGCTGCTTAATATTAGAACATACACATTTATATACGTTTGCTGATTTTTACAATTTTCCATCTGAGTGAAGGCTTCTGCCGTGTAATGTTTGGGTGATGAAGTAATCATTATGTTCGATTAGTTACATAGCAGCAGCTCCACTCATCAAAATGAACGCACACCGATTATGATGTATAGTCTTAAGTATAGGGGCTAAGTGTTTATCCATTATCAGTTATTTTTTGTTTCATTTATAATTTTATTTAATAAAATTACTAACACTTTAGCTAATTACTACGCTTTGCTCTCTGTTCTCTGTACTCCACAGTCCGCACTGCCTTGGAACAGTATCCATCGCTTATTTTCACATTAGTTAGGTGCTAATCCTTTTCGTTTTTACGATACTCCCTTCTATAGCCTAATTCTTAATGACTATGTGTAGTTGTATGTGTGTGTGTAGGGTGTATATAATACAAGGTGTGTTCTATATGGTTATAGGGGGTGTGTAAACGTACTCCTCAAGACCTAAATACGCGCACTAAGTTGTTATGCTAGTTTATATCTCAATAGTCAATAGTTTAGTTTCAGTTATAAATAGTTCAATAATAATTATAAACACAAAGTGTTGGCTAAAGGCCAACAACACAGAAGGGACCATAGTACGGCTTTAAATCGGGGCAATTAAAATTGCAATAATTGAAAACTGTATAATTACCAGATTAAAAGAAACTAAACCCTATGTGACACTCCCGTGGTGGGATTAGCATTAAAAATTGTGTTGCTTTTACAAATTAACATGGCAAACGGTACAAACTAAATATTGCAGTTTAAAAACTAAAAGTTAAGGACTATCTTTAAAAAAAATGAGTAAAGTACATGCTGTTGCTTTTCATGTTCATGATCGGTTCGGTTCGGTTCGATTCGATTTACTTCGATTTTTGTTCGTCACACTTCAAGTTGTTAGATGAAATGTTTAGAAATATATATATCACAATTTGTAAAAAGTTGTTAATGCGTTTTGTCATTGAATAAATTCAACAGTTTAACATTTAAAAATGAGTGGAAAGAGTCGATAGAGTATTGCATTGCATTGCTTTGAAGAGGGACTGTACTGTCTAAAGATTCCTTTTGATTCTCGGCTATCCAAACAAAGAAGACGCGTCTGAGTCTTTTTAAATTCGAGCATTCGGTTAACGTATATATTTCGCTTAAAAGAAGTACGTGTAAAAGGATAAATACGCGCTGATGGATAGGTAAAGCATAGTAGTAAAGTAGTCATTCTTATATATACAAAGCACTACGAAAGTGAAGCAGCTTTCAAGCAGCATCTCTGTTGCCATGATTTTTGGCTAGGCTAGGGCTGGGGCTAGGGCTTGGGCCAGGATCTGGGTCTAGGGCTACTGCTGGGGGGGGTGTGGCCTTTAATCTTTTTACATTTATTCAACTGTTAGATTAACATCTTTACTTATTCGTATGCATATTTTGCTGTGTAATACTTATCGTTTGACATCCAAATGCAACTGGCTAATGGGCACGGGTAGACGAGACACAGAAACATCAAACAATATTTCTATATTCTGTTCTGTTCCGCTCGATTCTGAGTTCTGTCCCTCTGCTGATGCATCAGATGCATTAATACGCTGATGTAGCGTACTTGCTTGCCAATGCAAATTCAAATGCAAGCAGGCTGTTGTCCGGAAGGACACTGATCTAAATTTTAAAAAATTACATTAAACATTACACACATGGACTAAACATACGCCTACTATTAGCCTAAACTCAACGCGAACACATACATATTCCTGTTCCGGTGTACATACATATCGTACATACTCATTGAAGATTCTTCTGCTATTCGAGGGTTGGGTTGCCTGATGACTAATACTAAACTTTAAGCTTGATTAAAGTTTACATTAATAAGTGTTTTCTTGAATGTTCGCTTGTGTTGTCATGTGTCATTGTGTCATTGTGCTGCTGTGGTTGTGGTTGTCGCTGTTGCGTATTTCACCTAATTACAAAATTTGCTCCTCAGCTGTCTCGCTGCTTTCCCTCTGCTCCTTCCTGCCCACGGCTATTAGGTATTCATCCTGATCGCCATACTCCCCATCGGCCACTTCACTCTCCAGCTCCAGCTCCAACTCGAGGTCGGGCTCGGAATGCTGCTCCTCTTTGTCCTCCTCCACTCACGCACTCGGCTCGCCGACCCTGAGCTGGTGCCGGCTGGAGCCGGTTCTGTGGCTGCTCCCGGTCTTGCGGCGTTTGCGCTTGGCATCGCGCTGGAAGGCCACGTTGCCGGGATCGTCGGCCAGCTGGGGATACTTGTGTATGCTGTGTATGTCAATCCCGATCCAACCATCGACGTCGCCGTGCTGGACGAGCTCCTCCTTCTCCTCCTCGGTCCAATCACCGCGACCCTGGAAGCCGGCGGCCACCAGCTGCTTCTCTAGCTCCCAGGCCCGTTCCACGGCTCGCTTGTGAGCATGCTTCAGTATGCGATGTCGCTCCTGCTCGGGATCCACGCCGTACTTGATGATGACCACCGCATCGGGTCCGTGGAGGCGCAGCTCTTTGGCCGCACTGCCGCCGTGATCGCTGATCTCGTGGGTTGATATGTTAAACATGCCGCCCAGGCGACGCAGCTCCTCGTTGTCGTCGCGCAGCTTCAGTACATTGTCCTTCACAAAGTAGAAGACGTCCTGGTCGTGTATGCTAAAGTGCAGGTCCAGGAAGAAGGAATTGTTGAACACACTGCTCACAACGTCCTGCACCACGCTGTTGGCCCCATCCACAACGCTGACCAGTGCCCGTCCCCCGATCGTCGAAAGCAGCACGCCC